TGCCAGCTGTCGAGGAGATTGGTGCAGGGGGATTCTGGAGCCCTGCACTCCTAGCTGCTGGCAGACAAAACTCGTGACATGGGTGCTTGTGCAACTGACTGTGTCTGTCTTGGGACAGTTGATTGTCTGTATCGATTATTTCCTCTCCTTAGTCTCTGCTTTTGTAGGTGTTAATTGATGGTAATTAACTGGCTACATTAGCTAGGTCCTGTGTATTGAGTTGGTCCATAAGTGAATCATGATCGATTGGTAACTGGTAACACAGTAGCTTAGCAGCCAGGCCTGCAGTAGTGTCTCCCATGCCTCAAGACAGAGACAGTCAGTTGCACAAGCACCCATGTCACGAGTTTTGCCTGTCAGCAGCTAGAGGTACAGGGCCTCAGAAGCCAGAAGCCCTGCACTGATCTCCATGACAGCTGGCAGACTACATGGCTGCAGCAGGGGCTAGCAGGCCTGCAGCCTTCACCCTGCTGTGCCTTAACACACACAGTGTCACCCATGTCACAAGTTTTGCTTGTCCACATCTTGAGATGCAGTTTCTCCCAAACCCCTGCACCGAGCTTCTTGAAACTTGGCAGGATTTGTGGCCTCACCAGGGGCTACTACACCTGCAGTTTTCACCCTCTTGTGGTGCAACACATAGATGTAACATGAGTTTTGCTTTCAAGAATTTGGGGTGCAGTTCCTCCCAACCCTCTGCACCAATCTTCTTGAAACTTGGCAGGCTTTGTAGCCTCAGCCAGGGCCACCAATCCCGCAGTTTCACCCCCCTGTGATGTAACAGATACACGTGACATCAGTTTTGCTTTCAAGAATTTGGGGCGCAATTCCCCCGTCCCCTGCACCAATTTTCTTGAAACTTGGCAGGCTTCATGCTCCCAGTAGAGACTACAAACCCTGAAAATTTCAAATCAGACAAAAAACAACGAAGTTACAGATATTTCATTGTTTCCCCATTGTACCCTATGGCTGGATCTCCGAAGCGGCTCTGAAGCTTTTCTGAAGCGCTTCGGAAGCTCCGAACCACTTCAGAATGCCTAACAGCGCTTCAATCCGGACATGCTACTTTGGATGCCAAAGCTTCTCCAGATCCCAAGCTCTGTCCGAGGCCATACACAGCCCTACTGTTGGCTCATATTCAGCTTCTAGTCCAATGTAACCCCATTTGCCATTTGCAGTACTTTTTAAATAAATGTGTCTCCCCAGAAAGTAATAAGCATTCACCATTGTGAAAGTTAATTTCTCAGCATCTACTTTTATTTTATGACTGTTTCTATCTTGCTGATTGTGAAGGTGGTGAAAAATTGGAATAAGCTAATTAGAGAACCTGTAGAATCTCCACCCTTGGAATTTTTCCAAAACAGGCTACACAGCCATTTGGCTGAGATAATTTAGTCAGGAATGCTCCTGCCTTGACCTTGTGAGGTCCATTCCAGCTCTATTTTCCTACAATTCTATGATCTTTTTACAGGGTTCATATTCCCCAGGAGGAAGTCAGCCCAGTAGACCAGTAAAGTACCCTAGCTCCTTTTCTGCAGCCTGTATTGGTGCATGGGATTATCCAATCCTCCTGTTTTAGGTCTCTCTGCATCCTAGCCCTACCCTCCAGCATATCTACTACTCCCCCCAGCTTGGTGTCATCTGCAAACTTGAAGAGGCTGCACTCCATCCAATCTTCCAGGTCGTTGATGAAGATATTGAAGAAAACCAGCCCCAGGATAAACCTGTACTTGGGGACTGCACGATACCAACTGCTAATTAGCCATCGAGACATTGATTACTACCCTCTGAGCCTGGTGATCCATTCAGTTTTCTATGCACCTTACGCTCCATTCATCCAACCCATACTTCCTAAGTTCCCTTGCAAGAACGTTGTGAGAAACGTATCAAAAGCCTTGCTAAAGTCAAGGTATATCACATCCATTGCTCTTCTCACATCCACAGAGCCAGTCATTTTGTCACAGACGATGACCAGGTTAGTAAGGCAAGACTTACCTTTGGTGAACCCATGCGGACTGTTCCTAATCACCTTCTCCTCCTCCATGTGTGTAGAAATGGCATGCTAGAGAAACTGTTTCATGATTTTTCCAGGGATTGAGGTGAGGCTAACTGATCTGTAGTCCCCTGGATTTTCCTTCTTCCCTTTCTTTAAAGATGGGCACTATATTTGCCTTTTTTCATCATCCAGGACCTCTCCCAATCGCCAAAAGTTTTCAAAGATAATGGTTAGCAGCTCTGCAATCACAATGAACAACTCCCTTCTAAACAATCCCTAACCTGTTCTTTTGCCACTATCAGTTGCTCACCTCCCCCTCAAACTGTGCTGCCAGGTACAGTAATCTGGCAGTTGATCTTGCCTGTGAAGACTGGGGTAAAAAAGGTATGGAGTACTTTTCACATCCTCTGTTGCCTCCCGCATTCAGTAGGGGACCCACACTTTCCCTGATCTTCCTCTTTTTGCTGAAATACTTGTAGAAACCCTACTCATTACCCTTCAGATTCCTTGCTAGCTACAACTCCAATTGTACATTGGTCTTCCTGATTTCATACCTCCATGCCCAAGCAAGACTCTTATACTACTCCCTAGTTGTCCAAGTTTCCACTTCTTGTAAGCTTCCTTTTTGTGTTTTAGCTCACTGAGGAGTTCCCGGCTAAGCCAAGCTAGTCTTCCGCCATACTTGCTACTCTTCCTGTGCATCAGGATAGTTTGTGCCTGTGTCCTCAGTAAGGTTTCTTTAAAGTACAGCTAGCTCTCCTGGACTCACTTAGACTAGCCTCCCAGGGGGGATCCAGCCTATGTGTTCCCTGAGTGAGTCAAAGTCTGTTTTTCTGAAATCCAGGGTTTGTATTCTGTTCTCCTTCCCTCCTTTCTTCACTATCCTGTACTCAGTCATTTCATGGTTGCTGCTGCCCAGGTTGACACCCACCTCTATTCCCCACCAATTCTTCCATTTGTGAGCAAGTAGTCAAGAGAAGCACAGGCCCTAGTTGGCCTCTCCAACACTTGAACCAGGAAGTTGTCCCAGCACTTCAAAAACTTCCTGGATTGCCTGTGCACTGCTGTGTTGCCTTCCCAGCAGATGTCAGGGGGACTGAAGTCCCCCATGAGAACCAGAACCTCTGATCTGGAAACTTCTGCCAACTGTCTGAAGAAAGCCTCATCCTTGTGGTCTTGTGGTCTATAGCAGACCTCCACCATGTCATCACTTTTGTTGATCTCACTGCTGACCCTGACCCTAAGACTTTTGACAGGCCTATCTTCAGTTTCATATTGGAGCTCTGAGCAATCATATGGCTCTTTTACATAAAGCACTACTCCTTCTTCTCTTCTCTCCTGTCAGTCCTTCATGAAGAGTTTGTACCTATCCATAACAGTGCTACGGTCACGCGAGCTGTCCCACCAAGTCCCTGTTATTCCAATCACGTCAGCTCCATGACTGTTCAAGGATGTCTCCTAGGCTCTGTGCATGTGTGCACAAACACCCGAGGTAACTAGCTGATTGCCCTACTTTCTCAGTGAGAATGAGAAGACCTCCCCTATTGCCGCCTCCTGCTTATGCCACTTCCCAGGTCAAGCCACTATGACTCCCCCACTACCTGCCTCCCTACCACTGCTTGCCCCTCTGTATATCTGTATAGGTGGGAGACATTTGAATACAACCCTCCAATAATTAGCTCTTATACATGGAAAATTATAACAAAAATTATACATTTTCCCTGTAGAGGATCTCATTATTGAGGGGGGTAGTCTTAATTTCAAAGTTGTCTTAGATTCTGGTAAACACAGTATTTTCTGTCCTGTAGATCTATTCCAGGTGGGTCCTGTGCATCTGTTTCTTGATTTTAACTGGTGCCCCTGGGCGTGCCAAAAGTGTGGCATCGGCAGGGCTCTGGTAAGGCTGGAGAGGTCTGCAGGCAACAAAAGCATCTTCTGGCTTTTAGAGTAGCCAAAACATTTTTTTCTAACCTACTGGATACAAAAAATCACGGACTAAATATAGACATTGGATTTATGACACATAGCCTGCCTAACATCTGACTCCCCAGATAACCTCTCTACTATCTACCAATTTACATTTTCACTGTCTGGCTTTATCACATGCATACTGTCATTTACTATTACATCTAGGAAGGGCAAAACCCAACTGCAGATGTTTCCTCAGCCTGATGAAGGGTATTTATACCTGAAAGCTTGTAAAGAAGAATTTTTCCAACTATTTGCATTGGTCTAAGAAAAGATACTGGATTTACCCAAAGAACCTTGTCTGCCTTTGTCCTTAGACCAAAATGGCTACAACCTAGACCCCTTTTTATATGTGAAACATTTCTGGGTTAACATGTTAACCCTTCCTGAGTCCTTTTGGTGTATGAATTCCCCTGCTGAGATCTAATTTGCCGCCAAAGGGAATGACGCAGGCAGCCCCAAGAAATATTATGAATGTTTTACAGCTGTAAATACCCCCCCAAAGCCACGGTCTTTCAAGTCACGGCATGAGAGGGGGTGGGGCAGGGCTCTGCCGCACCTCAGAGACTGAGTGGGATCTGCACAAGCTACCGTGAGCAAGAGCTCGTTTCGTCAGAGGCCAACGTCATCACACCGCTCGACTGCAGCTCCGGCAGGCTCGGGTTCTCCTCCGTGCTCTACAGCGATGCCTGCTGCCTAGCGATTGGCCCGAGCTCCGCAGGGGCGGGACGTCCGTACCAATCAAAGACTCAACTGTGAGTACTGCGACCCAACCATCAATCTAGCGAGGCGGCCGCGACCATCGGCTAGCCGCTACCACGTGACGGACGGGGGTTGCAACGCCGGGCCCCACCAGGGGGCGGGGCCCCTAGGGAAGAACAGCTTCCACTTATTGTGATGGCAATTGCCTCGCTACGAGAACCGGCCGTTGCGGTACATGCCGGGAAATGTAGTCTGTTCCCGGGTGTGGGGGGACTTTCCTCCCCGGCTCTGAGTGAAGAGGAAAACGGGGAAGTAGTTCCGGCACCAAGCGCGGAACGTTCCTTATTGTTAGCTCAGCGTCTTCCGTTGCCTAGGAGATGCTTTCGAGCCGCCTGCGGAGGAGAATTATCTGACGTCAAGGGCTGCTTGGTGCAGCCAGTTTGAGGGACTATTTGTTTTCTCCGGGGGGAGCCAGGCGCAGGGTTACATCGCGAGCTCGTACCGGAGGGCAGGTGCTGTGGTAGGGAGCAGGATGGATCTGCTGGAGCGCAAGGGGGCGCTGAGCCTGCGCTCGGGGTGCGCACAGTACAGCAATGCCACTCTCCTGCCTCCCAGGTAAGGGGGGACTGGCACAAATGCCATGTATGGTGCTTTGGCGACCAGCCACAAAGCTGGTCTGCCATAAATGTAGTTCCGTTTGGGGCTGGTTGGCCCTTTTGTTCTGCCAGTCTCAAGTCTTTCTGGTGGGGAGGGGTGCGCCTGGCATATGTGCCATGAACGGCGCATGCTCCCAGTGGCTGGGGGGGCATGCCTGTGGTGGCAGCAGCTATGGGAGCACAGCGACAGTGAGCAGGGAGCTCCCGCGAGCAGGGAGCTCCCGCAGACACTGCCGGCAGTGTTGGTGGCAGCCAGTGGGGATTGCTGACCACCCGCAGATGCTGCTGGCAGTGGTGGTGGCAGGGTGGTGAGCGGTGACTGCCTTTTTGCAGGGGTTGCATTGCCATGCTCAGGGGGTGCACATGTAATCACGTGTACCCTCTATGCTTCGCCCCTGATATGTGTCATTTATGGCACTTTAGGGACCAGCCACAAAGATGATCCACCATAAATGTGCCTTTTGGGGTTAGTCTTGTTGTTTCATCCTGCATCGTCAATTGGCCGAACACTGGGTTGCAATTTAGCTGGCGACCCCCATGACTTGAGATATCTCTGATTTTCTGAAAACGTGTGCCCATTCCAGTCAAATTTGTTAGTCATACTCCCTCCATCAACACGCTAATAGTTGTGCTGTAATTAGCGATTGCTTGGCAACTCAGGTGGAGTTTGATCTTTTTGGAAAGGGAACAGCTAACCTTTTGAATGCAAGTGTGGTTGCCTTCCCTGTTGAAATGGGTGTGGCAGTTGTGTCATGCTTAATCGTTTTACATAAAGAATCGATTATTACAGCACTCTGAAGCATCTATTTTGCTTTATAGGAACATAGCACTAGAAAGTAAACAGACCCGTAGCTCTAAACACCTCTGGGTGAAAGTGGTGTCTGGATTATCTCTTGATGTTTCTGACACACTTTCTAACCTCCATACTCTCAAAAAAGGATCTGATTGTCCAACCTGGGATCTCTTGAGTATATATTGACAGCGTTCGTAGAAGCAGGACATTGGCTGCCATGATTCCACAGCTTTATCTGTGGTAGGTTAGGGTGTTAGGTCTGTGTTGTGTCAGGGTTGACAGTAGTCTTAGGTAGAGCTTAGACTATGGATTGTATAGCATGGTTCAGATAGGGATGATCCTGCCTCAGACAGGGGGTTGGACTAGACCTTTGGAGGTCCCTTCCAGCCCTGATTCTGTATGATTCAGTGACAGATTTAACCTTTGCCAGGGCCCTGAAAGAGTTGCAGAATCTGAAAGATTAAAAGGGACGATCGTCTGGAATGGAGGTATGACGAGGCCACTCAGTGCCTGGGGCAGCGTTTGGATGCATGGGGGCACTGGTGGCTCCTAGCTCATGAGTGGTATGGTGGTGGTGGCTGTTATTTTTCTACCTCCTGCCAAAGTCAGTGTTGGAGGACTACAGCCCTAGTTAACCTATTCTTCTAGAACAGTCTATGACGTGTTCCTGTGTTTAGAAGCTAGTCGTCTCCCAAGGATGAGCAGTCAGTGAGTATAGGGGTAATTTAAGGGTCTATTTGTGCACCTAGTAAATAATGATAGGGTTGGCTCTGTGTCCA